TTTGTTGACTTTGTAACCTGCAAGTCCTGTCAGATAAACAAGACTAATTGGCCAATGCGTTCCTGGACAACGGTTATCCTATTACATTCATTCACAAGTAAAGCAGTCCAGTCAACCTCAAGCCTATTTCATGATTAACTAAGAAGAAAAACGGTTACATAGAACTACCTTTCACCGTAGATATGATGATCAACAACCGATCTCTACTTCAAATGATCTACTCGCTGCAACCTTTGGAAAATATGACCTATGATACATTATAGTGCGATAATAAGGAACCAACCAACTCCTCACATTCTGAGTGAAAACAATTCAAAGACTGCTGGTGAAACCATTGAAAAATTTGGGAGAGCGTTGACCTGTCTGGTAACTCGGTGTGCGTCGATTCCATGCACAAAAAACTCCATTACCTGTCTTATATAAGTTCTGATTGTGAAACTATAGCGATGTCAGTACAGGTGAAAATAAGCCGATGTTATGGTGGGTAACCTTTATCAAGGCGATTTTACAATTACCTGTCATCCGGTGCACACTTTCTTTTTGAGAGCTGGATAGACTATCTGGAATTGTCGATTGTCCATAACACACTAACATCCGAATTATTATTTTTAAAAACGTCTGGCTTCAAACAGACATTGATGATTTACTTATCTTACTAAATTCAATTACCTTACGCAACTGATCGATCAAGTCACTATAAAGGAAATCGATAGGCCTGACGACGTATATCATATTCTGTCAGCGTGATTCATCCGAAGTGGTGTTTTCCTAGAACATATAGTATATATTGTGCTTATCAGTTAGATTTAGGTCTCACTCTTTCAGCTACTTTAGTCTAATCATCACCGAGATCTGATGTTATAGAACTGGTGGCCACCCTCGTGGCCAGTGAATTCAGTATTTTTGGGGTGAGTGTTCTGTCGTCTTGGACATATATTGTTAATTTCCCCACCAGACACAAGACTCGATTCCATCAGGTGATCCTAATTGACTCTGCGATATGTTCTGTGGATACTTCTGGTGAATCCTGGTCATTACTTAATTACGTTTTGGCCTCGGATCTACTTAAAGACACTGCATCGCAAATAGTTCTAAGGAAGTGCAAATTTGAGACTGTGACAGCATTGATGGAAATGATAGCCAAAACTGATCTGAGCTTATTTTGCGATCGGAACATGTCAGATCATTCTGATTGAGTGACCAATTGTTTGAACCTGTGTTATGGTATCTGCAGTCCTAGTGAACTCCTTTGGATAAGTTAGACGAGTTTATCATTTCGGAATCTAAAACCTCTGCGCAAGAATGTGTGTTCAAATTAGGCGAGCACCGTTGATCAGATCAGGCGTCAAATGCCGCGATAGAAACATGTACTTGGAAAATAAGTCTGTAGTGGGTATACAGTACCGTGAAATTCCATTCAGGAATGTAAATCGAGTCCCGGCGTTCGAAACGCATTACCGCAGTCCTGAATCAGTTATTTGTGGTAATATAACCCAAAAGAAACTCACTGTCTGAGTCGTCTTCATGACCAAGCCTAAGCTCCTTTCATAAGAATCTGCTTGTGGCTGACAGTTAATTGCGGACAAGGTTGTAAGGTCTGAAAACTGACAGGGTGAACGGTTCTGACAGATTTCAGTCGGTTGTGCTAATGTCGTCCTACTTATTTAGCTGAACCACCAACTGTGCTGTTCAACAAACGCGTCATACAAGACAGCTGTTTACAGAACCGTCTGCTGCATTCAAATATATGCTCACAAAAGAGACTGCTCTAATTCGTCCAATCGCAGGCACTTTCATGTTACTTAAGTTTCTGGAAATAAACTTGTTTTATCAAGAATCAACTAGCATATCCTTGTCGGTGACAGGTCACAATTAATATTTTGTTCCGGGGCGTTCTACACCGGTGGCCTTTTATCTTATTACTCATACTGTACCCTCTACCCTCGACGCAAGGAAAATGCTTGTCTCTTGTGTTTTCCTGGTCAAATTAAAGCTTTTATTTGTGTTGTTAAATGCCCTATTACATTGGTATCTGCAAGAGCTTTGTTGACTCTATTGCTTGTTATGCTGGATACGTGGTGCTAATTTTCTTTATTTATTGTTCAAAACCCCAGCATTGACCTGACGCATATGTAAACAAACACCGTTGTTTGTACAAAATACATGTGATCAAACATCTTAATCACTAGGTACGAACTTGGCAATTGTATGAATGTCTAAAGAAGAAGTCATAGCCCGGTATGAAACGGCTGTATACCTAATGTGTTTCCTGCAATAACATGCAGTATATGCAGCGTTTCAGAAGAGGCAATGCATATTGTTCCTAAATGCTTTCGATTAGCTTCTGCAGAACATGGAGACGACCTGCCAAGCTACATATTATCCTTCAAGTGCATGAAGAGGGCTTCTGAAATGTGCAATTTGGAGTACGCCGATTACATCGTCTGTCTTTTCGAATGTATGGGGACACAGAGTGCATTTGATAAATTAACAAGTGCCGTTGCCACATTCGGTATGTGCTTTTCACCTTCAAAATGCAAAGGGATGCTGCAGGACTGGATGTTGCTTACTCCCGTTCTGAAGCTAAATGGCGAGGAATTCATTATGGTGGAATACTTTTCGTACCTAGGTAGTTGCGTGATCAATGGCGGTAG